GATTTTTTTAATCGTAGAATTAATCAGAACCACAGAGATAAATATTTATTAACATAATATAACTGATATCTATTATTTATAGCGACATCATTTAAGATGTTTTACTGGTACAACCATTAGTTACATTGATAAGATAAGACTTTGTTTTATACCTTAATAAATTATAGTGATATTTAATAGCTGATAAATTCTCATATTCTTAATAATATAAAATATAATATTGGAACTTTAATTATTTTAGTATGAGAGTTTAACAATACAAGAAAAAATATATAGAAGGTCAACCTTCAAATTGAATTAGGTCAGACTATTTGGCGGACACATGCCTGCTTTTGTTTTACAGGTTATTAAAATAATTAATAGAACATTTTCTAATAGAATTGTTCTGGGATATCCTTTGGAAAATATATGTTTATTGTGCTTTAGGTTATAAATAAGAATAATGAAACAATGTCACAGGCTTATATAAAAAATCTAATCCTCCTCGTCAAGTTTTGAATGTTGTTTAAAATTAGATACAATTCTATGAATAGAATGAGACAAGACTAAAAATAAAAAATATTTACCTTTTTTAAACCACTTCAGTTTTCGCCAAAAACCAAACCTGGTATGTCCAAATTTTCTGTCAATATACATGAGATACTTATTGTCCTGCAGTTTTGAAAGCCACTCCTTGCTGCGACTCCATACTGCTTGACAGCTAACATATGATTGCGTAAATACTGATGTACACCTGGAAATACAGATTAAAGATTTAGGATATTAAAGAATAAAGATACAATGCACACATTTACATTTACTAAAGCAATGATTACTCCAAGACTGAAAATAAAATTGTCACTGACGAGACAATGAAAACTTATGCTAATTTCAAGGTTAAAATTGAATTGTTGTTAACTTACAAGTCAAATGAAAGGTGAAGACTCATATGACATACATCAGATAATAAATAAAGCAACCAGACGAGTGCTTTCCACGTTGCATCTCCCCAGTGTTCCAGGTAGCTTTGAGCTAGCCCTAGGTACCAAGGCTTATTACGTCTTACTTTAGTCTGTGTTGGAGGCTTCTTGTCCTTCACAGGCTTGATTGGTTTGTGGTAACCTCGGGGTTCTCTCTTCTTTTTAGATTTTCCATCACTTTGCCCATCTTGTAGCACAAACTGTGACTCTTCTTCATCCTGCTTAATATCATCAACCGTTTCAGAGGCTTTTGGCTTTTCAATTTTTTTCTCTTTCTTTGGCTTTTCATGAGTTTTGATGAAGACAAACTGACTCTCATTTTCTTGATTAGGAGAATGTTCTTCTTCATTTGTTACATCATCAAGAGAAGACCATTTGCGAGACATGTTGTTACGTCTATTTTTGGATTTTTTATTAGGCTTCTGACATTTTTCATTATCATCAGTATTGATGTCTCCAGAGTCACTTCCAGAAGAAACTGTGCTAGTTTGTTTCTTCTCACCTCTGTTTTTATCATTATTTTGTATTTTTCCACCAGGTTTGCCTAGTTTCTGCTGTTTATTATTCAATTTCGTATCTATGTTGTTTTGCAGTTTAGTTTTATTTAATTCTGAGTTTGTATTCTTGGTGTTTTTACTAAGAACATCAGAATAACTGGGGCGCATAGGTTTCACTTCAGCTACTATGCGTTTCTTGGTACTTGTATCAGCTAAAGGACTATTTTCATTCCTCTTAGGAGATTGATCTTGTTTTAGCTGAGCATTTAATTCAGAAATCTGAGGATTAGGTATCATTGTTAATGGTGGCTCAGGGTGATTTAAGGGATAATTTTGACCAAATGGAGAATATGTTCCACTGGAATTTGGTTCCCAATTGCCTAACACTTCCTTTAAAAAGTTTGAAGTGGGCTGATTAGCTGCGGCATTAACATCTTGATTATAAACTGTATTTTGTATAGTAGCTGTTGGTGCATGAGCATTATGGCTCCTAGAGAAATCTTGATTAAGTGTAAACATGTGTGGGGGTTGGGTAGGTTGTACTGGCATATCACAAAGCCCTTGATTATTACTGAAGAGTTCATATTGGCCTGACATTGGAAAAATTAGTTGTTGATTGTTTTCATCATAAAATACTCTGACCAGTTGCCCATTACCTAAATTAAGCATTGCATTGCCGTAATTCTGTCTCTGATATCGATTGACATTGGGCATTGTGTTGAAAGGAATATTTTCCTCCTTATTAGGCGCGATATCGGGCGCCTGCACGTTGTATTGATTCTTGTATACATCGGGACCAAAATTGGGACTGGTGTATAGGCTTTCATTTAGAACGTTTGTAGTAGATGATATAGTGTGGTTTATATCTGGTAAACTATGATTTTCACCGGTGTCACCGTGATATTGCCATGCAGAGTCGCTGAATCTCGGATCATCTTGCGGCGACCTTGCCATGATTGGTAATTAACTTAGCTCACTTGTTTTATTTTTGATTAAACACGAATTTATTACCACTTACAGATTTATCATTTTAATAGCTACAAAACGTAGTTCTCTATTAATATTTATGAATTAAGATTTGAACGCGTGAAATGTGAATAAGTTCAATAGTTGACAGCAGTCAGAATTTAACAATAAACATGACTGTTGACTGATGACATATGGATGACGGAATAATAATTACAGACAAAAATTATGTTAATATGCTAGAATGTTTTAAAATAGAAATAAAACCATAATTAAAAATAATAATTGTTATCATAAAAATATCAGCGTCCAAATATTGATCCTCATTCAGATTTGAACCTGTTGGTCTAAGATCCCGATATACAACGACCTTCACCGAGATGCTTATTTAATTAAACGTATTTTATATTTAATTTAATATGTCAAAAAATATAATCCAATGGGTTGCCTAGCAAATTTCAGTCCAGAGTATTTTAATTATTAATATTTAAAAAAAAATATTTTTTTAAACATTTCACCGGTATGATTATTAGATAAATTCTATACCAATCGAAAGTATGAAGCCCATAGAATATGCAAACGTTAGGTTGTTTTTAATCAATTAATTATTTATGTGTATATTTTTTATGTGACACTAAAGTATATATACATCTTTAGTAAAAAAGAAAGTTATAGTGATACATATATAATACTACCCTGATTAAAAATATTGATTGAAAAAAATTAAAAAAATTTACTACATGCAAATTATAAAAAAATTTTTTTTTAAATATTAATTAAACATACTCTGGACTGAAATTTGCTAGGCAACCCATATGGATTATATTTATTGACATATTAAATTAAATATAAAATACGTTTCATTAAATAAGCATCTCGGTGAAGGTCGTTGTATATCGGGATCTTATACTATGTTTAAAACTACTAATTGGCTATGAATGGTAGTAATTGGTATCATTAATTTATTATAATTAACTAGGAGACTTTATTTATTTATTTATTTATTTAGTTATAAAGCCCACAACATCACACACAGTCATAAGTCCACCAACTATTTCACAAAATCCCACATCTAAAATGTGTGACAGTTAATGCAAGCATAAGTTTCTCAGTAAAAAAATCAAATAGAAATTAAAAAAAAAACACAACTAAAACCCACACGACAATGCAAGCACACATTAAAATAAAATCAATTTTTTAACATAAACATAAAATAAAATAAAATTTTCAACAACTATGTGCAGAAAAAAAAAGAAAAATCATCAGAAAAAAAAGAAATTAGGTTCTAGAAAGGCACCCCACAATGCTTTCTCTAAAACCGATCAGCCCACTACCGAATATATCCAGCTCTGGATACGCTGTGTTCAATTTGTTGAAATCGCGAAGAATTCGAACGAGAGGTGCCTGAACTCCTAGGTTGGTTTTGGCAGATGGAATTTGGAATATATTGTTAATTTTAAACCTAGGGAATGAGTAAGGGACGACAAATTTGATTTCCTGTAAAAGGTCACTGTTCTGTAAATGGTTGTTGAGCAATTTATACAAGAATGTAACACCGGCTAGAGCTCTCCGATTGTTAAGAGATAACATATTAAATTTTTTAAGTCGCTGATGGTACGGTTGTCTATGTGAAAATCCTCTGCTTATGAAAGCTAGGTGTCGCGTAAAAGATCTTTGTATGCTTTCAACGCGTTGCGAATGGATCGCATATAGTGGATTCCATATAATACTACCAAACTCAACATGACTGCGCACCAGAGTGTTGTACAAAATTGTTTTAGTCGTACAACCAAAACAACTTTTAGTTTAGACTTTTAGTTTTACGACCGCGATCAATATTTAATTGCAATGTTTTAATATTTTTTAAAACCAATTATTTCAAGTATAATTTTAGCGTATTTATAACGGATGATGTTTGGTGATTAATATCATGTTTATAAAAATACCTTGGCAAATAATGCATTATTGATAAAATTGATTAAGTACCATTAAAAGGTTAAAGAGAGAAAGAATTTGTCCTTCCGAACAACGTTAAAATTTTTGATTTTAGTAACTTTCAATGTTACGTATCCCGAGTACAGATAATATTAGTGAACATTTAATTTTACATTATATAAAAATAATAGACCCGGAAATTGAGTTTGAAGACTCGTAAATCGTTATTTGTAATTAATTAATTTTTAATGTTAAATAGTGATATTATAATATGATGATTTAATTTACTAAAAACTAGGTAGGTACTTCATTACGTTAAGCGTTTTTTTTTATACCACAAACTATATAAATAGCGTCAGGCATCGTTGCAATTGTAAATTTTCCACTCATACACGTAATATGTTTTATTTTAAACTATTTACTTTATATAAAATTAATACTAGACTTGACTGATGAATTTTAACTGTTTTCCTTTAACACGGTAGTTCATTCTGGACACGGACATTCTGTAATAATGCACTTATAGATACGAATTATTGATGGATTGCAGTATTACTTTCAAGTACACATAATTACTTAATTACAGCAAAATATGAATTGGTTTAACCAGTGTTCGACAAGCATTATTTGAATTTAGTCGATTATGTATCGATTTATTGTTTTACTTTTTTCGATATTAGTTTTAGCTTTTGACGATGACCCCGCTAACCAGATTGAAGTTTTCCGAAAGAAAACCAAGGTAATATTTTTGAGAATTAAATTATCAGTTCTTTATTAAAAGTACCACCACCTTAGCATAAAAAACTGATCTAATAAAGTAAACGTAATACTACTATTCCTTAATTAATTAACCACCATCCGAACTATCAAGATAATAATAATAATATACAGTTTTAGAATAATCACACAAACAGAATCCTTTGAGAGTTAAATGATGTCAAAGTAACTAGTTTTGATGTGTCACCGGTCTTTCATCCTTTTTATTTTATATCCTGTTTCGTATTTAAAGGTACCAAGTAAACAAAGTCATTACGACATGAAACAGTAAATAACATTACTTTCCCAGTGAAAACTGTTCTTATATGAAAAAGAGCGCGTAACAAATATGAAATCAATATAACGTTTATTAGTAATCATAACAATCAAATATACAGTATTTACAATTTCCGTAACATATAAAAAGTTTGGTCCCTGTGGCACCTTTAACGCTGGCAGCATTTCCTCGCTGTATTGCGATACTTATTCGTAAAAATTACAAAAAAAACTAATTGTACAAATATGAATCATTTTCGCCTTTAATTAGCGGCCATAGACGGACCGCATGTTGCAGTCAAGACCGACTGCAACATGCGGTTTCCTCAGGAACTGCTCGAGCGGTCCGTGTATTGCGAATATGAATTTAGTATGGAAACTGCAGATCGCCGTGCGGCGACCGCATGTTGCAGTCGGTCTTAACTGCAACATGCGGTCTGTCTATGGCCCGCTTCTCTAACTTTTTGAAGTACCTACCGATCTATAACTTTTTGAAGTACCTATCGATACTTAAAAAACGTAATTTTAAGCCGAATCACGAGATTTTAAATACTGTGTATTAAATATGGTAATATCTATTAGCACAATATGAAAAGTATGATTATGTTATTGTTGAACATACCGTTTTTTTCTAGGGACCTATTGGCATTATGACTACCAGTAATGGAGTACCGGTTCCTTTACGTGAAACAACAAGTACCTTGAACACTAGGTTGCTTTTTAACGAATATTTATTGGACTCTATAACACATATATTTCGGGAACGTATCCCGGAACGTTTTGTCCATGCAAAGGGGGGTGGAGCATTCGGCTACTTTGAAGTAACTCATGATATTTCACATATAACCAAAGCTAAGATTTTCAGTTCGGTAGGAAAGACAACACCTATCGTCGCCAGATTTTCACCAATCAACCCCGAAAGGGGAGGTAACGATCTTCTAAGAGACGCAAGAGGTTTTGCCGTCAGATTCTACTCAGAGGATGGTAATTTTGATTTAGTAGGGTTTAATACGGAAATGTTTTCCATCAAAGACCCCATTGACTTCACAATGTTCACTCACACCCAGAAAAGGAATCCAGCTACTAATCTATTTGACGCTAATATGCTGTGGGACTTCATCACTCTTCGACCGGAAAGTATGCATATATTCTTACGAGTATTTGGAGATCGAGGCATCCCTGATGGGTATCGTTATATGCCAGGTTTTTCTATACACACGTATCAGTTCGTAAACGAAAAAGGTGAATATTATTTCGTTAGATTCCATTTTATACCTGATGGTGGGGTAAGGTTTTTGACGGCAGAACAAGCAAGAATGATCAGTAGAGAAGATGCCGATTATTGTATTCGTGACTTGTACAAAGCTATCGAGGGAGGTGATTATCCATCATGGACTTTATCATTCCAGATACTGACCCTTGATGAGGTTAAGAATTCAGAAACAGATGTATTTGATGTAACAAGAGTTCTTCCGATTGAGAAATATCCCCTGCACCCTGTAGGAAAGATGGTATTAAACAAAAACCCAACGAACTACTTTGCCGAAGTTGAGCAATTGGCGTTTAGCCCTTCGAATTTAATACCCGGAATTCTTGGTGGCGTTGACAAAATATTTGAAATGAGAAGATTGGCGTATCGTTCTGCACAATATCACAGACTTGGGGCAAACTTTAACAAAATCCGTGTAAACTGTCCGTTTAGATCGCTAACGTACAATCGCGATGGTGAAGCGCCGGTTAAAGATAACGAGAGAGATGTTCCTAATTACTATCCCAACTCGTTCAACGGACCTATACCGTATGTAGAAGAGTCTAAATTGATACAAATAGTCGAACATCCACCATATAATTTTGATCAAGCTAGAGATTTGTATGAGAATCAGTTGTCTGCTGGTGAAAAGGAGAGGCTTGTTGAGAATATTTTGTATAGTTTGGGTTCTGTAACCAAGTTCCTGCAGGAAAAAAGTGTAGAACTTCTTAGTCTAGTGTCACGTGACCTTGGTAGTAGAGTTGAACAAGGCCTACTTTCAAATGTGACAACGAACTATTTGGATGATTATAAGAAATAGACTGGCTAAATATAAATATTCTATTTCCAATGAATTATTAATTTAGAACATAGAACTCGCTTATCTAGTTTATATTTAAATGTAATTTTAATAAATATCAAGACTAACACGTTTGTACTTCAAGATACAATCTTTGGTTTAATCATTCTTTGATTCTCGGCAATAATATAATTGGTTCGGGTTGAAAAGCTATTGACAAAAATATGTCTAAAAAGAAGAAATTTATTTTGGAGGTTACGAATTTCCAATAATTTAAAAAATTACGTAGCGAGGAGCTGGTATGAAACGGTAAGCACATCAAGTATTTTTTCATAAAACTTTTAAGGCATGACTAAACTTTCTAATTAATATCACTTTTATAGAACAATTTAAAAGCACTTGAACTTATATTAATATTTTTAAGTGTTGTCTTTGCCAATTAATCCAAGCAGGGAATTATAAAGCGATACAACATTATTCCTATAGATACCTAATAAAATACTTTTGCAAACCAAAACCGATTCATCATCGTCACGATTATTCTAGAAGTTCTATTGACGGGCTAGGTTTGAAAAAAAGTCATAAGTTAATTAACTATGAGTAAACATTACCTAATAAAAATATATTCGGTCCCGGTCCAGTAACCATGAAGTAAGAAGCTAACCAACCAAGAAACGATTGCAGTTGAACGATTTTATAATGCATGGAAAATAAGATAATTTGTACAATCACTACTTACGTTCTCTGATGAGTTTGTTACATATGTCTCGATGTTATATTTCTTTGTAGAAAACCAGACAACTTTTTGTCTTGGCGTTATCTATGTATGTGTTTCCTTGATTATGTTTTAAGATAAAGTAGGTGATCAGCGTTCTCTGCCTGACGTTCGAAATTTTTTCCTCCGGCCAGACCTCAGCCCTGCGATTCTGTAACTCACTTTTCGAACTCACACAGCGGTTTTCGCATCGGCGCGGGCGGTCGCTCTGAAATCAGTCGTGAAGCAGTCATTTTATGATTTGGGATTCTGATAAACAATAAACTACAAGCTCCCACCTTTTCAGAATGCTTGTGAGTGTTTACTTAACAAAAAGTTTTGATTTGAAAAAAAATTAATAATATTAATAATACACTCAATAAACAACTATAAATAGTATGTCTAACGCAAGAACTCATCAGTACCAATCTAGTAGATATTATGAAAAAGATATATGATATAGATTTTTTCGAATTTTACGCCTTTAGTACACCTACGCGTTCGTATGCGGCTGCGAGTCTTTGCGAAATAATTGCGGTAGCGAAATATCTGCGGAACGTTAGTACACTGCAGTTTTTTAGCAAGGAAATGTCATTGTAGTTTTATTTCTTACCATCTATCCCCGTCTTTTCTTGAATTTTCCTCCATGCCACCTCTTTTTTGTATGCATTTTTGTAATTAATTTGCCCAACTAAATATAATTCGGGATAATTTCGAATCAAATTTAATAATAATTCAATATTTTCGGCTTCCATTGTGCGAAATTCTGTCCTCACTGACAGAACGCGTGGTGACGCATTGCGATGCGAAACTCCGCTAGCGAAACGGCTGCGTCTGTGTAACAGCCATTTCGCAGTTACTTGCGAAACAATACCGACAAGGACGCAACTATTTCATCTAGCTATATAATAGAGCGAGACAAAACACATGCGAAACATTGCCATACAACTTACAGTTTTTTCGTCGTTTCGCTGCCGCATGCGATTGCGTAGGTGTACTAAAGGCGTTAATAAAAGAAATTTTAATAATAGTAAAAAAAAAGTTAATTTTCATATAAAACGCAAAATGAATTATAACTCGGCAGGGGTTGAGCTTAGAAACCTCCCGTAGAACTATTTTTTGCAGCTGATGACCTCATCTATCCCCTAGTTGCGTTTGATCCACGACTTTTTGACCACCCTGTATAGACAATAGACATAGGCTCTTTTGAAGGTAATGCTATTCCGGCCATACATATTTCCATCGGAAGAGCTTTATCATCTCAGCAAATTTTCCGTTAGGAAGCTGTGTTAGTGTCCTAAGTGTTATTTTAAAAGCACACAGAGCGCTCCCGAATGATAGTAGGCTGTTTCTTAAAAGAAATAGGGATGTTGTCGTCGGTCAGACCGTAAGGAATGACTTTGCCAGACGAAATATACAGGCAGACTATTTCTATAATAGATGAAATAGGCTGCTTTATATCTGCCCGCTCACCGACTATCTAAAAATACGATTAAAAGACTGGCTAAATATGTAGTTACACATTTCATTCTGTCACTCACTCACATGCACCCCAACACTTACTCATTCACTAACATGCACCGACACACTCACTGCATGAGTGAGGCGTGTTGATAACAGTTGAAAAAACAAAAATAATTTAAAAAGAATGTAATTAAATCATTGTGTATACGTATATTTTAATTACGCGTCACGTTGTTTGTCCGCTATGGACTCCTAAACTACTAAACCGATTTCAATAAAATTTGCACACCGTGGGCAGTGATCTAACTTAAAAGATAGGATAGCTTACATATATGTATATATTAGTGATGCAACGGATCTCTGTTTCTGTTTCCGCAAGGGCGGAAGTTCCGCGCGCTGTTCAACATTCGTTTCTGCTTCTATTTCTGATACTTTTATAACGGAGATACAATCGGAAGTTTACGACGGCTGAGAGTAATATTTGTCGCCAGCAGCGTCGCCAGTGAGCAATTATTTAGCGGAGCTGGTCTTATAATACGAAGAACACCGGAACATACTGTTAGGTGCAAAAGCGGCCAAATTACTTTGCATAAAATATAACTTACCACTTACTAGTTAATTATGGAATATTAATAAAATGTTCACTTGCAGAGTTGCAATATTGTTTTCTATAGTAGATTTCTAATATATATATTTCTAATCTAGATTTGGTGTATTTGATACTTAATAAAGAAATATGTATGTAATTTTTTTTTGAAATTATTTACACTTCCGTTTCTGCCCCCGTTTCAGTTTACTTTTGATATCTGTTTCCGTTTCTGGTTCCGCTAAGACACTTCCGTTGCATCACTAATACATATATATAATTCTACTGTACGTGTGTATGACACTGAACTCTTCAACGGCTGGACCGATTTGAATGATTTTTTTTATGCGCTTAGATGGACCCCTAGATGGTTTAGATTCACAAATACGGCCGGCAGATGGCGCTGCAGTCAGTACTTTCATACTTTGTTTAATATCCTTCAGGACAACGTCTGTCTGGTTCGCTAGTATATGTATATATATTTTTTACTTAAAAGGGTTATATTGAACTGTTGTCAAATTAATAAACACATTTTTTTAAATATATATTACCTATTCAGAGACGTGATCATTTTACTCAAACCATATGTATGTTTGCCCCTATCAATTCATCAACGCAGGACGTAATCACTTTGAAAGTTAAATATGTCTTATACGAGTATGTGAGCGAAGCATAGTCTTTAATTATACCTGAAGTTTTATCCAAACCACGAAATGCTTTGTGTTATTAAAAAAAATATATACATATACAAGTCGTCGGAAATATCTGCGAACCTGGCTTAATGACGTCATACAAACTGGAGAGATAGCAAAAAAATTGAAGATGTAAAAATAAAAAATATTTTATTTGTGTACTTATTTTTATTGATACTCGTACCTACTTGAAATTTACAAATACTTATTATTTACATTATTTAAAATTCAAATTATTTACAAATAATACAAAGAAAAAGTAGAGAGGAAGAGAAAGTGGCGAAACTATTCTAGAAAAGCCTCGACACCAGACATGGTAGCGCTGTCGTTTTCGTCATCTTCTATATTATCACTCAAAATGTTGTCTTCGGTTTCGCTGTCACTGTCTTCTCCTCCTAATGAAATTATTAATTCGCGTTCTTCATGTTCATATAATCTGTCATTATGCCAAAACTTATCTCTTAAGCGATCAACATGGTTGCATTCTTTTTTCCAATCTTCCGGGGTTATACTTTGGATCGCTGCCTTTGTTAACCTTTCTATATCTTTTTCTGATTGGTCAATATTTTTGTCTGCCACCCTTTGTTTCATCAAATTCCAAACATACTCAATAGGGTTGAGATCACAGTGGTAGGGTGGCAGACGTAATACCTCATGTCCATGAGCTCTAAATATTTCATCGATGAAATATACCTTCTCAGGTTTATTTCTTTGAATCAACATATACAGTTCTCTTTTAGTCATTTTGTCATCAAATTCGATGTTGTGTTCTTGCAGCCATGTTTGCATTTCTTTTTGCCTGCTTACTGTGATAGGGCGCGTTGTCCATGACAATTATTCCGTTGGGTGGAAGGTTCGGTATCAATTTCTCTTTAATCCATTTGGTAAAATTGGACGCATCCATTTCGTCATGGTAATCACCGGTTGTTGATTTACACTTATATAGGAGCTCGGCTCCTTGTATGAAACCGTTCTCATTACCTGCGTGTACCACAATCCAGCGCTGACCAGGAGAGTGATTTATTCGGACACTGGAATCACTACTATTTTGCCAACATTTTGAGACAGTATAGTGTGAATGTATCCAGGTTTCGTCGATAAATGTAACTGGTTTTTTTCGGCACCACGTTCGTCATTTTCTTTCAGTCGCCTTAAATATTTTGCTCTCCAGGCTGCTATTTCAGGTCTTTGCACCAAAAAATCGCGTTTTCGTTTACATTTTTTAAAGCTGTACCCCAAATCATTTATTAGTATGTTTCTTAGGGCGTCTTTTTGGCCGGGAAAGTTGAGCTCCCGTTTTGCTATTGTAAGAATCTTTTTTAAAGTAGGTATTTCTTTTCTTGTGGTATAAAAACTTTCAACCAAAGAGCGTATCGCGCATAAATCAAAATTATCTAGATCTATTTTCTTTTTGTATTTTTTACGCTTTTTCCCTGGTGTCGAGAGCTTGATAGTGTCCGTGGCAACTGAAGCTGAAGTACTAGGTTGTAGATGCTCACCATCTTCGAAGGACGTCATGTCTTCC